CTCGGGAAGCGCGGAGGCGCTCCCGCCGAGGGTTCGGATCCCACATACAGACCGGTTCCCGCTCACTGGCTGAGCGAGGCGCGGGGGCAACACCAAGGGTTGCGATCCCGTTGCCGGTCCCGGTCCGGTACGGGGGCAACACTGAGGGTTGCGATCCATTGCCGGACACGGAAAAAGACAAAAAAAAAAAAAGCCCAAGGTCACTCAGGTGACAAATGCAGAGCTTACATTCAAACCCATATATGTACTTCACATAGAAATCTAAAGTTCAAACACAACATAACTGCACTCGTACAGACCTGACCTTAGGGCTTTTCTAATACTGAGACCATCTATGAAAGGTGGGTCTAAAGGAATATATTTCACATCAGTATGGACATCAATCTATCCCATTCTTTATCTTTTAGTTTTCTCCAATATTCTACAACAACTAAATTTAAAAGAAGTGACTTACCTACAAATCCTTCCTCACCAACCAGTTTCAGGGCAATTTTGTCAGCCAACACTGAAGAGTTGCCGTGAGCGATGTTAGCAAAGGGGCCAGCGTGCACAAATACAGGTGTTCCCTACAGAATGAGGAGGACAAATTAAAACCCCTGAAGACAAAGGGAAGCATGGGAACCAAGATCAATTTTGGGCAAAGTTGAACAGGCTGTTTGGTATTTTAGTCTCAGTCAAGTCATTCTGCTTTTATTTATACTGTATATTTAATGCACAAAATCTCTCAAAGAGAGTCAACACACTCCCACTCACTCAAAGGACCAAATTCCCTACATATTCCAGAATAGTGTTATTCTACACTGAATGCTGAACCAGGGAGAAAAAGCTATAAGAATATACCCATTTCCTGGTGTAGTTTTGATAAGCTTCTGTGTTACTTGCCTCAGTGACCATGAAATAAGCTATTTATCTTATTTCATATTGCTCTGCGTTATATTTTTTAAAAGAATAAAATTAGACCCTGATGGTCTAAGAGGCTTATTTAATTCTTTTAAATTAAGAAATTTCAAAGTCAAGGGTTTGGATCCCTGTACTGGCCAGCAGCACCCCCCTCCCCCTAAAGAAATCAGTCAATTCAAGAAAAATCTAAAGTAGGCATAAAAATCAGCACAATTAATGAATTGTGGGAGTCATGGCAGGCCAATTACATAATAATTAAGTTTATGATAGGCTGTTTTTATTCTAATTATAAAGTTGTTATTCTGATTTTTAAAAGTTCTGTTTAAGTCTTTCTCCTTATTTAATTGTCTTACATGTTAGAAATCTGGTAATATTTTTTTTTGGCAGCTGGCCAGTATGGGTATCTGAACCCTTGAGGTTGGCAGAGAAATCTGGTAACTCTTAAGATAACAAAAGTAAAGAAAAATTTTACTCATAGTAAAATGTTAGAGTAATTCTTATTAATAAAAAGGAAAAAATAAACCAATAGAAGAGAATCATGAAAAACATTACAACTTTAGATTTTAGTTCTTTAAACAAAATCTATCTATATCTTCATTTTTAATGCCATTTCTACACTTTTTCCTTTTATTGATGAAAATAAACCTACGTTCTATCTAAAAACACTTTATCCACATGCATTAAAATGTCCAGGTCTTATTCAGAGTCCAGCCAGGGCCATCAGGGTCCGTGCACATGAAGCCTTGGCCCCACCTGTGCAAATACAGACTGCTATCTCACTGACACAGGGAAGGCAGGAGCCATGCGGGGGGCGGAGGGCTGGGAGCCATGGAAAATTCCTGTGAACCATGACGGGCTGCTGGCCGAACATGATTCAAAGATGAGAAAGTTGAACAAAAGCAGGAAGAAAGAAAGTGAAAGAAAAATCATGTCTGAGGATGAAAAAGATAGACTTTATCAAAGCCACTATGTGGGTTCTCTATTTACTTTTCCTCCCAAATTCCTCAGGAGAAAGAATAATGTAAGGGCCCCGATAAGGTCATACATATGTATGTGGCAATGAAGCTAGGGCGGTAAAACCAAGACATGCATGTTTATGGATATGTATAGATGTTGTTTAGTGTCCATCTCTCACTTCTATTTAGATAAACCTTTTAAGTGCTCTGAAGAAAACATTTTTTAAAGCCTTAAAAGTCTCCATCACCTCCTGATCTTCCCAGTCCTAGAATGCTGCTGCCTGTGGTATACTAGTGGCATTGGTAGAAGTTTAATGGGGACAAGGTCACAGGCTCCACCCCGGGATGCAGAGCTGGCTTTACCTCTCCAGAGACTGCAACCCTCACGGCCTCATCTCTCTGAGAAGCACCAAGCCTGTTCTCCAGAGGGGACAGGTGACAGGGTGAGGCTGAATCAGTAAAAACACGTCACTATTCCTGGGATAATCGCTCCAAGTTGCTACCAAATCCACAGCAACATTTTAGTTAAAAAAGAAAAGGACTGTGAGACTTTGTAGAAGCTTTCTTATTTTTTAGGCTATATGTTAATTTATTAGCAAAGGCATTTTTTAAATTTAAAATATTTGCTTTTAATTGGCAAATAATTGTATTTACATATATATGTGGTACAATGTGATGGTTTGATATATGTATATGTTATGGAATGATTATATCAAGCTAACTGACATATCCATCACCTCACAGATCATTTAAAATCTATTATTTTAGCAATTTTGAAATATACAACACATTATTAAGTATGGTCACATCTTGAAAATTTATTCCTCCTGTCTAACTGGAACTCTGTACCCTTTGGTCAACTTCTCCCCATTCTGGTCCCCACCCCACACCCACAGCCTCTGGTAGCCACCATTCTACTCTCTACTTTGCAAAAACATTTTATAATTTTGTATATGTGTAGTTTTAGTAGAAATCACAGAATCAGATAACGTGAGAGCAAGAAGAGGCCAACTTCTGCGCATGAGAAACCTGAGGCCCAAAGAGGCTAAGGGAATTCTTCAAGGACACACAGCAGATTAAGAACTAAATCAGAATTAGAGCTCTGGTTTTAAAACTCCGAGTATGGAGTGAGAGAGGAAAAAATTGTTAGAACATCATTGTTGAGATATTCAAACACAGGGACACACACACTCGCACAGTCAATGATGGATGTAGCTATAAGATACAGTACACTGAGTTAAACACGTTGTCTAAGAAATTCTATGACTAACTCAAAGGCATAAAAATATTTATCTTGAGTACAATATTTTATTTTATATGTAGAACACATAGGAATGTAAAGCAAGAACTACCTTCTCATGGTAAATCTATGAATATTCTCCATAATGGACTTTTCAAACATTTCACAAGATTAATGCTTCAATTACTCACTTGTTTACTGCAGCCCCAAAAGAGCACTGTCCAAAAGAATTTTCTGTGACACTAGAAATATTCTCTCTGTGCTGTCCAATACCATAGTCACCAGCCACACGTGGTTACCGAGCACTTAAAATATGGCTAGTAAAATTTTTTTTTTT